CCCAGTGCTGTACAGTTTGAAGAGTGAGTTTCTCCCAGTGCATACAGACTGAAGACTGAGTTTCTCCCAGTGCTGTACAGTTTGAAGAGTGAGTTCGTCCCAGTGCTGTACGGTGTGGAGCATGTGGATGTCTGGTTGAGTTCGACTCCTACTCTACAGGTCTAGTAGAAGGAGAGTTTGCCCCTCGGGAATCAATGATTTTTATTAGCCAATCTGTCTTGCCTGTCCGTAGTGCCCAGGGGCCCTGTGCTGTCTGAACGTCGGAGAGGTGGGGGGCTCTCGTGAGGAGGGGGTGAGAGAGGTGGTGGGCACTTCTAAACTGCCCCAGGCACAGCGCTGACTAACAGACACAGGGGCACTGCTGCTGTCTGTGAGGTCAAAGGGCACAACCTTGTCAGCCCCTGCACTCTCTCAAACACAGCAGGGCAGCCTGTAGCCTTTTGAGTCTCTTCGGGGCTCAGTGAAGCCATCCTTGGCAGACATACACTGCATGTGCTCTGGCAAGTGCTTAGGATGGAGTTCTGTGTCTCTTCGTTGCTTAATATACATTTTATTTCACCTTCCTACAGCATAACCATTGTACTGTAATCTTGCTGTAGCCCGTAGCTATTATAATGCACTTCCTACTGTAAAATGGAATATTGAGTAGAATATTGAAACAGAACTATTGAACTATAACTTTAGTTCCCTCCTCTGTCATAATATAACCCTTCTATAGCTCTGTGAACAGAATTATTGTGTTGTGCTTTGTTTGGGAAAGACAGAAAGTGGCAGGAGAATGCATTCCGGATCGCAGAGAGGAGAGGATGAGGGCTTTTGGAAAGATACCGCCTTTACTGTGTTGCATTACACTATCTATCTCAAGCACAGTTAGCCCTGAGCTGTGGGTGCCTATTATATCAACTGCCTTACTGACGACAGTGTAAGAGCACTATTGAAGCAATGCACTATGCACGGGGCGTGTGTGTGTGTGAGTAGGTGAGGTGATGTGGATGTGGTTTGTGTGTGTCAGGGGTCCCAGGGGTGTCCCAGCCCCTATAAAACAGTGTGGACCTCACGGTCCCGGCACTGAGGGTCAGGGAGGATCTCTCACCACTGTGTGTTATTACTGGGGCTCCCACCAGACACAGACACATCCCTGCGCGCGCACGTGGACAACACACAGGCAGCAGCTGACGACACAACGCGCGCACACGGGGAGGGAGAGGAGCAGAGAAGGACCGTCGCCGACCGACGCAGGAGAGACTCGGACAGACCAGCGGACGATGAGGATCCTGGACAGGCAGCTGTGAGGACAGACAGACCGGGGGGGGACACCAGCAGCTGCAGGGCACCTACCTGCGATTCTCCCGAACCGTCCACCTGCAGAGCCACAGACGCCCTGGCGCCCAGTCCTCCGCAGACACTGCGACACAGCCCTGCACCGACCCTCCTCCCACAGACAGGTGGACAGAGAGACAGACTGGCAGACAGAGACAGATAGACAGGCCGACAAGACAGGTGGACAGAGAGAGAGATAGACAGACAGGCAGAAAGAGAAGAGAGACAGACAGGCAGACATACAGTTAAGCTGGCAGAGAGACAGATTGACACACAGACAGAAAGGCAGACAGAGAAACAGAGAGACAGACGGACAGCAGGACTCTCAGAGACAGACGGATCCTCACCAGTAGTGCCGCGGCGTTGGACACATGGAGGGTAATGGACACCAATCAGATTCATTGATCAGCTCATTAACTGGTACCTTTTCGTATGTATTCGTCGGCTTGATGCCTTTCTTCTGAGAGCTGTATGAGCACCTGCTGGGGATCTGGCTGTGTCTCATCTGGGCATGGCTCTGTTGCTAGTGTTTGCCATTAGTCTAACTGTTGCTTGTTTCTGTGTCTGGGTATGTAGGTGTCACCTAGTTAGCAAGAGGTCTGGGGGGGCTCTCTAAATAACAGTGTTAATTAAAATGAAGATGACCTTTTTATTAACAGAAATATCATAAGAATGATGGAAGTTTCTGGATTCTCTGCTTCATTGAGCTTGATGGCTCATCTGCTCTAATCACCCGACTGCAAAACGAATGCCGTTGCTTCAAATCCACCTTTATTGGCAGTTAATTATTGCTCAGTATGTAGTGCTATTCTGTACCGTGCTGGGGTTTGCTCTTCTAGGGCGTATTGAACTATGCTTTGTGAAGAATTGTGCTGAATTGTGCTATGTCCCTCAGTGAAATGTGTTGTACTGGACTGTGTGTCTCTGTGGTACAGTGTGTTGTACTGGACTGTGTGTCTCTGTGGTACAGTGTGTTGTACTGGACTGTGTGTCTC